GAAAATTTTTCCACCAAATTTCACAAGGATAACGTCTCCGCACCATGTGAAGAAATATTCTTCGGCGCTCTGCTCGGTGACGCTAATTCCACGGGGACTGTAGATACGGGGAAAAATGCTGCCCCCTAAAAATATATATATTTTTTGAAATAATTTTTTTATATAATTTGATTATTATTTAAATAATTAATTTTTTAAATTTATATACGATCCATAATATTAAACGTATTCATTCATTTAATAACATATAAAAATTTATCAAAAAATAATATAAAAAAATTATTTCTATGGTATCATCCAAAAATCAATTAGTGATTGATTTTCTTTTAGTAGAAAAGACTTTATGCTCTCGTTTGTGTTATACCCAAACAAAAATAAAAATAAAATAAATATAAAAACATTGAGCAGCAGCCCTGCACATATATGGGACCGTTTTATGGCCATAAAGACCTTGAGCAGCCGCAAACCCAAACCCAAACCCAGAAGAAACTATGAAATCACTATGGCAACAGGCAACCCTTCACCAAAGTCTTCGCCTACCGCTATATCTAACCCCATTAATTAAAACCACCCAAAAACCAGTCTTCCTCACCCAATTCCGCAACTCCTCAACTGATTCTCAATCCCCAAAAAAATTGGTTGGACGACTCCTGCGCACAGAAGGGTACCACCACCGAGAGGCACGGAAAATACTCGAAAACCCTCCGAACCGGCATCCACTTCTTGGATCGGATGGTCGATAAGATTGCCGGCGTGCATTCCTTGAAGGAACAGGTAATCATTATACCATTGGAAACAGTTACCCGTGGTAAGTTCGAGATTGTAATTGAAGGGCAACTTTTCATAAAAATTGTGGATCCTAAATCGTTTTCATGCCGAAATATATTGATTTGAAGGATCGGTATGATCTTGGACGTCGCTGCTATGAAGCTGACAGATTTCCAAATTTTCGAATATTTAACGATTTTGGACCTTTTTATGAAGATTTTTTCAAGCATCCGGGCTTTTGCAATCGATGAACGTATCAACAAAATTACAGCAGCTTGGGGAGTCAAATGTTTGTATATCAAAAGCCATTTCTATATGCCAAAGGAGAGGAGATGCCTGCTGGCGTGATATTGATGAGTTTCATGTTTATTATACATACAAAGGACGTAGTCCCCAAACTTCTAAACGCATAGTAAAGCTGATAAAAAATGGTGAAATGACACCAATAAAGGGTTGGATCAAGTAGTTAGCGATTTGTTTCAGCTTATATAAAATCTCGAGTTCGAAACTTTGTGTACACAACAGTTTTCATTGAAAAACTCATCCACCAGGTGCACGACGGGAGTGATCCGGATTAATCGGAGCCAAATCCCTGGTACTGGACAAAAACCCAAAAAAAAAAAAGAAAGTGGAACGAGGAGGCAATCTATAAGCTGTTGAGGTGGAAAGGGGACAGAATCTTGAGACCTGTTGAGATATTAAGGGATCGACTACCATAAAAGAGGGGATGTCGACCGCAAGCGGTACATGGAGGTGACGAAGAGAATCCCCAAGGTGATACCTAGAAAGTAAAAGATTCATAGCAAATGTAGGACTTAGAGGTGTTTGGTTGGTATATAATGGTATGAAACTAATAGTCGGTGATTTTATCTAATTTAATGAATTATTAATGATTAATAATAATTATTAACTACTAAATTATGCAAAATTACTAACCACTAATTTCAAACTTGGTGCCTTTTGCAACCAGTACAAATGAAGGCCAATGGTGATTTTTGCACCAGTTGAAAGAGGCGCAATTTTATGAGAAATTGCAACTCATGTCTTCTGACTTTTAAAAATAAGTTTTAACTTTTGAATCCAGTCACTCAAAACGTTTGAAACTGTTTCTTCTGCTTCACCATTCTGTTTTTCAAAACTTCTTTCTTCTGTCTTTAATGACCGTACCCATACCCATTAATCTTACCATTACTTAGTAGTATGGTATGTATAATATATGACCAAGTGGAGGTTGATGATATAATTTATAATAATATTATTATTAGAAAACCTTGTATATGACTATATGTACAACAATTATATTATATACATTTAATGATTGTGAGCACTTCTTCATGTGATCCAAGCGATCATGTTTCTCTGTGTAAGAAATAAAGTGAAGTGCAGTACATGATTATCAAATTGATTCCTCAACTGGTACTTAAATAAATATTAATTTATTAATCATGTTTTCTACAATAAAAAAAATAATTGTGATTAAATATTTAAATATTAAAAATATTGAGACAATTTGATTTTTTCTTTTCTCATTAAAAAACTATAATTAGAAAAAATTGTCTTTAGTGTCTGCCTTATGACAAACTGTAAGATAAGGACCATTAAAGGAGGTGGATCCCTGATATTAAGCCCACCTCCCCCTCTTTTTTATGACCCTGACAGGACGGATGACAGGACGGATGGTAAGACAACAACCTCCTATAATTATAATGCCTAAAATAACCAACGAGGGGTTGAATCAAGTGATAAGCGACTTATTCCAGCTTAAATAAAATCTCAAGTTCAAGACCTTGTGTACGCAACAACCCCCGTTGAGAGACTAACCTACCATTTTCAAGTGCGCGACACGGGTTGGATCCGAATTAATCGAGGCGAAGCCCCGGATACCGAGCGAGAATCCAAAAAAAAAAAATAATGATAATGCCTAAAATAGCCTGAGGTTAAGGTGTGGGGTTAACGCTTTAGGATGAGCCATAAACCACTCCCTAAAGATCCTATCGAAAGAGACTGCAACGATTCTTTTTTGGGCGTCATCCACTTGGATTGATTTTGTAATGGTTTCTTCCGGATTACGGTAATATTATTTAATTTAAACATACTATAAGTGGAAATAAGAGATTCTTAGACTCGAGATTCTTAGTTCGAGTGTGCACTCAAGGGACGATAGATGAACGGCAACTCAAGATAAAATAAAAATAAAAGTAATTAGTCACCAAGTAGAATAGTCTAGATACAATTTTCTGTAATAATTTGGTTAGTCACAGCTGATAAGTGAGGGAAATTAGGAGATAGCATTACCATCAACCAACATCAATTCAACAGTCGTGGGGGATCTAGGAAAACGTTTATCCATAATAAGTCTCAGCTTTATGGTCGATGCAATAAAATTAAATCTAAATAGCTCAAGACTTTCACTTAACAAAAAGCTGCAGCTTGGCCATAGACAAGAACTGTATAACACAAGATTATGGACAAACAAACCAAATTAGCAGAAAGTCCATATATGGTTCTGATTGACGTGTTAAAACCCTTAAATCTTTTTTTTTTTTTTTTGCCACAATTAAACCTAAATGGCTAGAACATAATTCCCAAAACCCACAACAAAAAGATCAAATAATATAATCACACCCCCACCATGAATAGTAAGCATGAAAACCAGACACCACTTGACAAAATAAACAGAGTTAGACCTAACAAGTTACACCAAAGCAATGCTGCTCTCACCCCCTGGTGGCTTGCGTACGCCACCTAGGTAGTCTCGAGCCTCTACCTTCCCATCAGCAAAAATGTTGCTTCCACTTATCTCCCGCAGTTTTGCTGTGCTGAGTGGCTTCTCAGCTGACGTTGGAGGAACATCATCCTTAAATATGTCATTTCCTGAAAGGTGAGCAAATTTCTGGTTGGGAATTTTCTTCGCTGTCTTGACCATAGGTTGCTCACCAGACATGCTATTTCCCTGTCCCCCAGTATGCAACAGAAATGGAAGGCAAATTCAAGAATCAAAATTGATCAGATATTTGAACCCAAAAAAATTCAAAATAGCAAACTCAAGTCAGGAATGAACTATCATATCCCTAGATACTAGATAATAATAAGTGGTACTTTGTGACAATCAAAGCAGAGATGATGTAATTTGAATGCCCAATTACAAACTTCTTCCCGAGGACTAATTAATCTTTCCAACCAACTTATATATTAGTAGTGAATGGTGTAAGCAACAAAATTTGAAGATAATTGCCTCTTTTTTAGTTATCTGGCATTCATGACAACATTTGTAAACTTTTCTCTGATTATAAGGTATAAGCCTTACAATTATTATAAAGTCAAACATATAGGGAGAAGAAATTTTATATAAGCATTCAAGGAAGTAAATCATGTGCGTATCTTTAACAAGTACTTACATTATGTACTTCAGGTTCTCCAAGGTTGAAGTTATCCTTCAATGCCAATGCACGTGTACTGGTTGGTCTGGGTAAAATTTCAGGTGGGGGTGCAAAGATGTCATGTCCACTTATCTCCTTGCACTTTGCATCAGATACCTGCTTCTTCAACTTTGACTCTGACTCACTTTCCATAGAGCCACTCAATTCGCGCTGCTTTGCCACCTCTGGCAAAGTGGTTGGCTTTTTGGGAGAAACACTCACCTCCTCGCTAAAAGAGATATGGCTGATTCCAGCAAGCGTTTGCTGACAACACAAAAGATCAAAGGACTTGACGAGTTACTAGAAGATACATAGTTACCTTACAAACATCAATATGAACTCAAAAAATTAAGTGCTCATAATCAAATTCAATCCTGAAAAAATTCAGCTAATACCTGGTACATGCGTACTCCAGTTCTGGCATTTGGAGTAGGGTTGGCACTGCCTGATTCCGTAGAATCATCTTCTCCGTTGACTGCAAAAATGCCACTACCAGTGATCTCCTTCAACTTATAACCTGAACAAGGTTTCCTAGAAGCAAGCATGGTTGATGCTTTCCATGAGACCAACATATCACAAACCAAACCACAAAGATAAGTTGCAAAACGATCCAGAAATTACTGAGGTTTTAGAAAAGAAAAACCTGTCCTGGAAACCCAAAAGAAAGGGCTTTTTAAATCACTTCATACCAACCAAGCTAAGCTCTAGTTGCATAGTTAGTAATATCAATTTGTCCTTTTTTACTTGATTTGATTAAATTAATAGATTCCCTATTCCCAAATCAAACTTCACAAGACCATCAGAACCTAGAGAATCCAGATTTTCAATTCTAATATCCATACAAAAAAAGATTGGTGGATGACAACTTGAAAGAGAAAACTGATAACTTGTTAACTGGAAAACTGAAACTGGTCCCGAAATTGAAATTCTTATCAGAATCAATGGCACGATGCAGCTAGATGTCCTTCAGCAATTGAAATTAGTTGGTAAACTAATTGGATTAGATCATAACAAAAATCCAATGGATGGACGCCATGTTCATACTTAACGTGGTAACAGTTGTACTATTTACAAGGAAATCAGTCATGGATAATTGGACAGATCAAATTAACTCGAAATAATTATTGTAGCCAGATTTACAGAGAGTGAGAAAGAAGAGACAAAAAAAGGGCAAATAGAAACAGCTAAAGAATACCAACAAAATGGAAGAACAAAAGAAATATCAGTAACCGGCAAAAGCTCCGTGTTATCCGCATTTATTGCGGGTAAATAACTACAAATTTGCTAAACAACAAAACCCCCCAAAAAAAAAAAAATTTTAAAATTAAAATGAGAGAAGTAGAAGCAGAGCAGAAACAGAACCAGATCTCACCGTTTGTTTAAGCTCTCGAACTCCTCATCCGTCACTTGTCCTCCAAACACCACCTTACGGATCCCATCGGACGGCTATAATTAATTCCGAGAAAAAAAAAACTTAATTAATCAAACGTAAAATAAAATAAAATAAAATAAACAGAGAGGAAATGCGAAAATTACCTGATGAGACCTGGCGGGGGCGACGGAGCCAGGGGAGGGGGAATCGGCGGGAGGAGCTTCCGGCCAAGTGAGCAGATCTGCAGTTGATGTGTGCGGCTTCCTCACCGGCGTGCTCCTCTCCATTTTCTCCTCTCACAAGTGTAACAATGCTCTTGCCAACCGCAAAAGCAGCTCGAATAAAAAAGGCACCAGAACACAAGCAAGCTTCTCCCGAATTCCTCTCTTCTTACTCTTCCTCTGGCAGAAAAAGCACTGGTTTGAGGTTTAAGACTGACGGCAAAAGAGAATGATGGAACGGATCTGAAAGGAAAATGAAATGACGACGGTGTCCTCGCCGGAGAACCTGATCTGGAAGCTTCTGTACTGCTCAGATTGCTTTTTCCAAGGGAGCGGAGGCTAAATATTTGGCTAGGAGTGTAGGGGGGAGGAGTGGTAGCTACTCTTCTTGTGTTTTAAAACAAAGAAAACAAGAAAATAAGTATTTATTTGTACGCGTCCCGTAGTGTATAAAATTAAATTAATTATTTAATTCATAACCGTGGATTTTCTCTCTCCACTTGCCTCTACTGATTTTTGAAATCTTGTACCGCCCTGTGGCGCTGTGAGTGTGATCCTGTTGAGTTATCAATTATCAACCGCCCCACCCCCCCCCTCTTTTTTCTTTTTTTGAATAAGTTTTAAGATAGCTCCTCAACTTTGGCTTCTTTTCCAATTTCACACACAAGTTTAATTGTAGATTGTTAAATTCGTATGGAATCTATTGTGATGTTTTAAGTTTAAAATTTAAGCAAAATAGTTAGGTGATGTCTATGAGTGCGATGGCTTCATTAATACTTTATTTAGTCAATCAAGTTTCTTATTTTGAGAATCTAACTATTAAATAGAAAAATCTCATATTAATAACAAATATGACTTTAAAATATAAAAAAAGTTACTCTATGGTTTAGTTTGATAATACTAATTTATAGTTCTAACTATAGGTTTTTTTTTATCTTTTAACACCTTAAAAATATATATAATATATTTTATATATTTAATATTTATTTTAATTAATATTTTATTCATTTTTAAAATAATAAAAATATATAAAAACTAAAAGGTAAAGTACTAAAAAATATTATCGAACGAAGTTTATATGTAATTAGAGAGTTTTCGATAAAATTTAAAATATATTTACTTTAAAATTGTTATTCTTATTTTATTTTAAATTAGATGCTAGTCATTACATTTCGATGCTAATATCAAATTTTCATGCTAACATTACAAATTTGAATGAGAAATTGTCTTCCTTTTCTTTTATCATAACAATGGGATTTCCTTGCCCAAACGTCAAGCTAGTTTCCAAATAGCTTGAAAAGAAAAAGGCTTGAGACTTAAATTAAAAGGAATAGCTAAGTTTAGGGGCTTTTACTTGTTTTTTAATCTCTTAAGGCTTTCCAAATGCCGTCCATGTGTGCTTTCTATATCATCGACAAATGCCGGTCAAAGAAAGTTTTAACCGAGCAAGCCCGTTTTGAGAAATTAAAACTTTGCCAAATTGCCCTGAGAGATTTTTATTTTAAGATTCAACAGAAAAAAATGGGAAAAAAAATTGAAAACGAAATTGTAACTCAAAATATCGAAATTCAGTTCCAAAATGATAAGAAGATTAATTTCAAAATTTTAAACTGGGTTTTTAGTAATTTTCGGAGATTATAACGAAAAAATCCCTTATTTTTAAATAAAAACGCTAAAATGTGGTTTTAATCATACTGGGACCCAGAGATTGCTATATATATCTCATATTAGACTGACAATTTTAGGGTATTTTTTTAACTTCATGAATAAAGTAAATCGTTCTATCAATAGCAGGTTCTACTCTTAGATGATATTATTGTTAGTAGATTTTATACTAGACAAATAAATGTACGTTGATGGCACCTAGTCCTTCGGGTCAATTAATAATATATCAGTTTGAAGTGTATTTTTTCTTTTTTATAAGTGGGATTCGAGTTCATCCCTTAACAACTTGTTCAAAAAAAAATATATATTGATGTAATATTTTTTAATTATAAAAAATTATTTTACTGCTTAAATTTATTAAACTAGATAATAATTATTCTTGAGTTGATAAAGAAACTTCTAATATTAGATCTTTTTCTTTTATTTAAGAATTTTAATTTTATAATTTGATTTAATTTAAATTACAAACTGACAAACTTTAACTTTTAACTAAATGTTTCAATTTTTATATGTGATTTAAATTACATTAACAAAACCAAAACCTTGAGCATCCCAACTATACAGGTGCTTATCTATTATAGGACAGGGCCAATGGCCTGACATGCGATAAAGTTGAAGCTTGAATATCAATACTTGTGAATTGAAATCGATAGCTTCGACATTCCTCAGAAGGTAAGATCTCCTGAAACCAGCCGAGCATCTGGGGCTTTTTTGTTTTTTGACTTGGAAGCTTTGATGCCAATTCAGTTAATCTTTTTGAAGTTAACGTGAATCATTTTCTCTCCTTTTTCTGCAAACCCATGTGAGTGACGAGGCATCGAGAATTTGCATCCACACCTGGTGACGCCCATTTCCACATCCAGTGAGCAGTGACAACACCCCTTTCCCACTTGAAATCATTTGGTGTGGACCTCCTGCTGTTTGCTCTGCTTCACGTGCGGTGAACGAAGCATCCTCCCCCCGCCTCCCTTTGCCTAACTCCCAAGGCCCATCCCCCACGCGGCAGAGCCTTCATCAATTTCGATCCCGTCATTCTCTAACTACAGTGATGACGGCGGCAGTCATGGTGCGGAACTCCCAGCTCTTCCGTGAAATCCTGCAGTGGAAATATTCCCACTTAATTTTAGATGTAATTTGAAAATGTTGCTGCTTATACAAAATGAGACACATCACATGACAGTACATAGGGCATATTTTTTTTTTTTTTTGTTTTCCGCCTGATATTTAGGACTTCGCCTCGATTAATCTGAACTGACCCGCATCGCGTACATAAAAATGATGGGTGAATCTCCCAACGACAACTGCTATCTTGAACTCGAGATTTTACTTAAACTGAAATAAACCGCTTACCACTTAAGCCAACCCTAAGTTAGTTATATATAGGGCATATTTGGATGATGTTACCCTAGAAGGTATTTTTGGGGTGATTTTGACTAACAATCTATTTGTTAAAAGTTACTAAATTTATATTAAAAAATAATGATTTTATTTAATTTGATTATTAAAAATAATTAATAATGGATAAATCAATGG